CCCCAAAACCCCAAAACCCCAAAACCCCAAAACCCCGTTTTTGGGAGGTGGAGTGGAATTTTTAGTTTTTGATAGGAATGATTTTAAGCGTGGTTTGTGCGTATGTGGGGTTTGGAAGTGTCCTGTTGGGGATATCGAAGGGGAGAGTGTTTAAGAGAGATGGGATGGAGGTGGATGAGCAGAGGTATCAGGATCAGGATGTGGCGTCACTTGGATACTGGGTGTGTCTCTTTGGATTGTTTGTAGCAAGGATGGAGATAGGGGGATCAGAGATCATGGGAACAAAGAGAAATATTGAGCAATATATGATAATTTTATGAACCAGCTGGTATAGTTTTGATATGGCAGTGAAGTATTTCACAGGGTTAATCGACTCATATTTGGTGGCTCACCATTCTTTCACTATTTTCTCAATGATGGCATGTTATACAAATGAAAACACAGTATCTTTTGGGGCCACAGCTTTAATGTTAAATGATATCTGTCTTCTCTTCTTTGTAGCAAAACGTACGATGGAGAGAAATAAGATTGGAGCTCAAGAAAAACTTTTTCAGATTAACTTTACTTGTCTTACATTCACGTTCTTTATGAGTAGAGTTATTGGTAATTTCTGGCTTATTTTCAAATACTCGCTAAGCTCAGGGAGTAATCCACTTTTAGTCGTATTGAATTCTCCGATACTAAGCTTGGGTGTCACTACATCGATCAAACTCGTCAGCAAGTTCTGGAAGTATCTTCCCGAATGGGCATCTGATTCAAAGAAGATAGAGCAAAGTATGTGGTGGACATATCCAAGGAAATTGTTCCAAGAGTATAAGACAAATGGCTCCTTCACAGAAACTATGAACAGGCTGATCTATGCGATTTCAGCTGTTCCTGTTATTTTATCAGCTTATAATTATTTCGTAATGTAAAAGCTACAATGGTTTGTCTATTTGCTTTGAAATATATTAGATCCAGAAAATGAGAAATTTAGAGTGCTTTAGTTCAGGAATTAAGGTTCAAAGTCATTAGAGAAGATTTTAGATAGTATATTTGAACAGTTCGTAAGATTCTGTATGTTTGGGTGTTTTCAATATTTTATTAGGACTAGGGGTTTTGGGGTTTTGGGGTTTTGGGG